GGCAGCCCACAGACTGGGAAAAGATTTTCACCAATCCTATATCCAACAATATACAATATCCAAAATATACAAAGAAATCAAGAAACTAGTCCACAAAACACAAAACAACCCTATTAAAAATGGGGTACAGAACTGAAGAAAGAATTCTCAATAAAGGAAATCAAAAAGGCTGAAAGACACTTAAGAAAGTGCTCAATATCCTTAGCTATCAGGGAAATGCAAATCAAAACAACTCTGAGATACCATCTTATTCCTGCCAGAATGGCTAAAATTAGAAACACCAATGACAACTCAAGCTGGAGAGGATGTGGAGAAAGGGGAATACTCCTCCACTGCTGGTGGGAGTGCAAACTCGTACAGCTATTTTGGAGATCAGTATGGTGGTTCCTCAGGAAAATGGGAATTAGTTTACTACAGGACTCGGCAATCCCCCTCTTAGGCATATACCCAAATGATCCACATCCATGCAACTATGTTTATAGCAGCATTATTTGTAATAGCAAGAACCTGGAAGCAACATAGATGCCCCTCAATTGAAGAATGGATAAAGAAGATGTGGAACATCTACACAATGGAATACTACTCTGCAGAAAAAAATAATGGTATCTTGAAATTCGCAGGCAAGTGGATGGCACTTGAAGAAACCATCCTGAATGAGGTAACCCAGTCACAAAAAGAGGAACATACTATGTACTCGCTCATATATGGATTTTAGACCTAGATCAAAGGATCACCAGCCTATAATTCACACCACCAGAGGAACTAGGATACAAGGTGTATTCTAAGAAATTCGTATAAAGTCCCTCACAGAACTGGGAAGGGACAAGTCCCCCAGAGCACAGGGGAAGTGGCGGGGGGGGGGGGAGGCAATGAATGGAGAGAGACGTGGGAGAAAGAGAAGGGAAGGAGAGGAAAACACGTGCGACTAGGAAAATTGAGTCAGGGTAGGAATAGAAGACAGGAGAGAGACAGAGAAAGAAAGACAGAGAGAGAACATAAAAGATGGAGCCAATATTGGTTTGAAGAGAAAACTGAACCCAAAGAAAGGTCTAGAGACCTATAAGACTGCCGCCAACTAACAATTTGAGCATCCGTGGAAAGGCTACCATAAATGCCCTTCCCAGATAGTGAGATCAACAACTAACTTATCCACCATCATGGAGCCCTCATCTAATACCTGTTGGAAAGAAGCAAACACCCATACATAAACACTGAGTCTAACTAGAATCCAGATGCAGAGGGAGAGGACCAGGTTGCAGAAACACATAGAGACAGCTGACCTGAACAAGGAGGAGCTAACGGGCCCCCAGACTGATAGCTGGGAAGCCAGCATGGGACTGACTCAGGCCCCCCCTGAATATGGGTCTCAGCCAGAAGGACTGAGCAGTCTATGGGACCTCAGAAAGTGGAACCAGGATGTATCCCTGGTGCACAAAAGGACCTTGCGAACACATCCTCCATAGAGGGATAACTGCCATAACCTAGAGACAAGAGAGAGAAGTCCTAGTCCCTACTTCAAATGACCTGTCTGATCTACATGACCCTACCTGGATGGCATTGCCCTACATGTGGAATTGAGGTGGGGGGATGGGAGGGGAGGGTGGTCAGTGTGCATGTGAGGGGGCAGAGAGGGTAAAAGAGAGGGAGGGAGGGGGGAAGAAGGTAGGGAGAGGGAACTGGGATCGACATGTAAAATAATAAATTAAATTTAAAAAAAAAAAAAGAAACCTCCCTTAAAGGAGCTGTGCAAATTTCTCTTTGTCTCTAGTAAAACAGCCCAACTGAGAAAAACGTTGTTACTAAGAAGCCTTGCTTGTCTCTGTTTTTGTTTCTAAAATCTGTTTTTAAGCTTTTATCAAGTTTTAAGGGGAAGTTTTTAGTACCCATGTTGCAGGCGCCATTTTGTTACAAGCAGTTTTCTGCCAGCCTGGTCCCACAGCCATGGCAGTTCCAAAACACACACAGAGACACTGTATTAGATACAAAGTTGTTGGCCTGTTTACTAGTGTTTCTTATTATCTAGATCTGTCTTAAATATTAACCCATTTTTATTAATCTAAGTATTTCCACGTGATCTTATCTTACTGGAGAGAAGGTCCGGACCTCTTCTCCCTCAAGTCTCTACATGTTGAATCTCCCCCTACCTCTCCCTGAATCCTCCTTGTCTCCTAGTCCTGCCTATCTTGCTTTCCTATTAGCCAACAGTGTTTTATTCATTAACCAATAAGAGAAACTTATTTACAAAATGACATCTCCCATCAGAAACAAAGCAAAATACAACAAGGGTCTACCTATCACTCAGAAAGAAATATCTCAAACAAGGATATTAAAATATAGTCAATGTGTTGAAATAAAATAAACCTATGGCATTTAAATTTTCTAAAGAAATATGTATACTTATAATAAAATCTCTATGAAAGATATATACAAGAGATTTATATATACAAATATTTCATGGGAAATAAAAGAAAATTCAATGAATGAAATCATAAAAAGTATTATAATTGATGAACTGGCCAACCATAACTGAAGAGCTTGGATGATACTAGTGTTTTCTTTTTTTCCAAACTGGTTACAGGAATGAAATAAATTAGAACACCTAAGACTGAGCAAAGGGAAAAATCTGTTAGCATTTGCACACAAGAAGGTAAGGGCTAATGCCTACCTGCCTTTCAAAGTAAGGCAAAACACATTAGTTTTGATGGCCCACAGGCTGAGGCCAAGATTGGACCTGTGTCTTTGCTCATGACAACAATGGCAGCAGCAGCACCTCCTGAGTACTGCCGTGGTCAGGTGCTGTGAGCCTGGAAGGGGGACACAAATGGAGGCAACCACAGACCCTATCCTCCTGCAGCTCTCACTGTGCTACAGCAAAGAACAGTGAGTACCATGGGATCAGAAAACCAGTCACCAGAAGATCTTGGTATAAAGATCTTGGTATAAAGAATCCAGCTTTTATAACAAGAAAATTGTCTTGCTGAATTAGCAATTTTACAGAGATCTGAATCTTTCCCAGTAAGATGAAAAGGGCCAAGAAAAAGTACTTTTCACTATGTGCTTTACAGATTTTTTTTTCTTTGAGCTTTAAAGGAACAGGATAGAAAATAAAGACAAGGCCCATCCAAGTCAAAGAGCAACTGATGCTCTGACCCTTTAAGCCCTGGCCAGTAAGGCAATGCTGACTCCAGGAGTCAGTCTGACTTAGGCCTGAAATCCAGCTTCTTGCCTCCACACAACCATCTTAAGAGGGTTACATAACTCTTTAGTGTTCTCATCTACGAGTGGTCTTAATAAAAATGATTGTACTGCACTGTCATGACATTTAGTGACTTCCTTCATCAATGTTTTAGTCTTACTGTGTGTCACGGAGTGATGGCTTAGGCAGTAGCATATATGACATTCACACATCCATAGGCACTCCATGTGGCCATTGTCTCCTCTCCTCACACATACCTGTCCTCAGTACCATCCTTTCAGAGCTCTACCCTTCTGCCCTTGCAACACTTACTTTCTGCCAAATTTACAGTCGGCTAATGTAAGAATCTAATCATGGGCAACGTGCTAATGAGAATCAGGCAAGAGGGCAGTGTCTATTACCTGCCTATTCAAACACACTCCTGATGGTAAAATATGATCTTGGAAACAAAACTAGACTGAGAGCAGTGATCTGTAGTGTGAACACTGAGAAGCAGCATCTGGCAAATCAATGTGGTAGCTCTCAGTAATGCTGACACCCCGTGTTATATCTGCTACACCCATTTAAATAAATAAATAGCATGTTTTTTTCTGTATAAAGTATGTGTCAAGATAACCCATTGACCCTAGTCTAGAACATTCCATAAAACAAATATGACTCTTAGACAAATAAGGCCACAGAAAGAGAAACTGTTTTACATCTATGATAGAGGAAGAACCTAGACCACAATTCAATTCTCTTCTTGAGCTAATGTTTCTAAGCCAATATCATATGGATTTAATGTGGTTTAACAAAAATCCTGCTTTGAAAACACACACACACAAGGTCCAAAACTTGTGAATCAGGCAACAGTGAGACAGTGGCATTCTCTGACAGACATGCTAACGTAGGAGATTCTTAAATGCCAGGTCATCCGTTTTGCCGTGATCCTAGACACCAGCTATCACTGAGCATGTTCTCAGTTTTCAGGCAACCAAATTGAAAAGGCTAATGGTCTACTCTAATCCCAATAAGCCTGGCAATAAAGTAAAAGCTTGACGACCCTGACACCTAGTGGCCATACAGAAACTGCAGCCAACTCAGCCTCAAGAGTACAGCGAGCCACTGCGGCAGTGTCTGTGTCTGCCACGCATTGAATGTATCATTGTGAATACTGGGTGTGGACTGTACAGATTCTGAAAGCAAACTTATAACGCCATGATGTGTCTCTAGGATTATCTTGAGACTATCCAGGTGGGCCAAAAGGCATGCATTTGTTAATAATATTTCCCTTTACCCTTCCACATGTAACAAGGTTTTACTCATCTTCAAACATTACAAGTAAATAAATAAATAAATAAATAAATAAATAAATAAATAATGCAGAGGTTAGTTGCTATTGTTGAAAATTCTTACTCTTTTCGCTCACTCTGTATGTTCATCCGCACCCTTTTCCTGGTCTTTTGGGTGGTTTTTGATCCACCTTGAAATACCCTGCAGAATCCAAAAGCCATGTGATCAAGCCTTCACAGAAGTTCCCTTTGTGCTGCTGAGACATCATTACCAAAGGGTCGTTAGACCTTCACAAAGCAGCAGGAATCTTCTTTAGAAGGAATAAAAGGACATTGCAGAAACCCCTTAAGAACCCATCTAAGAGCCCACACTGAACACTGTGGGTAGCCAGAGGGACAGATATCAGCACAAGCTATATCTGCCCCAATCATTAGAAGATAAGTCTCCCCGACCTTCCTGAACCTCTGATGGGTAGGACAGCAGGAAGCAGAATTGTTGGCCTTCTCCACCAAAGGAGAGCCCTGAATCATACCTGCTGACGTTTGAAGGCTAAATAATCCAGGTTTTCCAGCTCTTTCCCAAGCTTCTGGTAGGTCTTCTGCAGGTCAGATTTGTTGGAAACATTTTTAAGAGACTCAAATGTTCTTTGGAACTGCAAATGAAAAGGAAAGCAGATTATAATAATGACAAATGTTCTTCAAATCCCCAGCTAGCTAACAGTGTCAATAATGTACTTCAGTTTTACCCACCATGATTCAGAGACAACAAATGCTAGCTAATTATCTTTCAGTGGACTGATTAGAAATGATTATGAAGAGGTAGAAATTATATTGTGCAGCCAATATTATACATGAATTAGAGGTCCATGTGGTCCTCATTCTAACAAAAAGAGCATATGTCATTCAGAATAAAAGAACTTTCATGCTTTAGGATACCCTGAAAAAAAATGAGACTTGATGTGTAATTTTTTAAGTCTAACAAAGCTGGAAGTTGCTTCAGTCAGTAAAGTGCTTGCTGTGCAAGCCTGAAGACCTGAATTTAATCCTACCATCCATGGAAAATCCATGTTCATGTTTGTAATCCCAACACTGGGGAAGCATAGACAGGACAATCACCCAGGCCCAATGGCGAGCCAGCCTAGCCATTTAGCAAGCTTGCTACCACTTTACTAAATCAGCATAATCCCTAATTACATTCTAATGATATGTCCTTATTGCCACAGATAAGTGTAGCTCTCACCCTCATCAAGGAAACTTCTCTTTGCAACAGATGGAGATTATTATGGAAAAACACAACTTACCAAAATGCAGACCTGTGATTCCCAGTCCCAGCTACAGCACATTCCTGAACCTCAGGCTCAGAGATTATTGTCAAAGAGGGTGGGGGAAAGATTGCAATTGCTGTGAGACTGTGGCTCCTTGTCAGACATGCTACACCCACAGAGTCTCACCAACATGTACACCGCCTAAACGTGAACCAAACCAGGATGATATTAATAGACATGTCAATGTGAGAGGGGGGGAAACTTAGCAGACCCTAGACAAAGAATTACAGACAATTAAGGAATGGTGAGAGCTGGGGAAGTAGTCTTCCCTAGGGAAGAACACACACAGCAAATGTGTGTGTGTGTGTGTGTGTGTGTGTGTGTGTGTGTGTGTGTGTGTGTGTGTGTAAAACAATTAAAGAAAAAAGAGACCATGGATTTGAATAAGAGCAAGAGGAGGGTACATGGGAAGAGTTGGAGGAAGGAATGGAAGAGGGAAAATGATGTAATTATATTATAATTTGTAAATTAAATGAGTTTTAAATTTTTGGGTTTTTTTTTGTTTTTTTGTTGTTGTTGTTGTTTTTTTTTTTTTTTTTTTTTTTTTTTTTTTTTTTTTTTTTTGTTCATTTGTTTTCTTTGCTTTGGTTTGGAGCCAGTTCTGGACTTAGCTCGATAGATCAGGCTGAACTCGAATTCACAGAGATCCACCTGCCTCTGCCTCCCCAGTGCTGGGATTAAAGGTGTGCACCACCAACACCTGGCAAGTTTTAAATTTTTAAAAATAAAGTGGAGAGTGGCTGAGGAAGATATCTGATGCTGACCTCTGGCCTACATCCACATGCAGAAAGGTGCATGCCTACAGAAAGATAGAGGGACAGAGACAGACAGACAGATGGGAAGAAAGAGATTCTCTGCTTGGAAGAAGGAAGGGGATCAGTGGGACTAGGAGGGAACAAAGAGCCACAGTGGCGAGGTAAATATCAGGTTTTCATATGCCAATCATGGAAACAAGCAAGGGTATGGAAGGTTAGCTGCTTGCTTATGCTCCTTTTGTGGCATGAGACTAGGCTTGTGACTGTAGATGTGAGTTTCAGAAAGGAAAATGTCTCAAAGCGTGTATTTCAAGACGCGAAGAACACCAACATGTTGATGACTGAAGCCTATGTGGCATGTTCAGCAAACATGTGTTCATTTTTGCTCTATAACCAATAAGTTACAAAATCATTTCTGCTGAATTGGAATGCTCCTGTCCATTCTCAAGTCACATGTTGGACAAATAGGTGACAAATTGTGGTAGATCACCGAATGCTTCTCACTACTAATAAGTAAAGGGAGATCACAAGAAATTGAATTCTTAGTTTATTTTAGTAAATTAAAACATACTTTGGAGGGTTAATAATTGAAAATGTCTAGGGACATAATTCTCATTTGCTCTTTTTATGCCATTTATTTCCTATATTCTCATCTTATACTGTTACATAGATTTCCACAGATAGAGACCACCATTTAAACACACCAAAATCCCCTATTGTGATGCCATGAGACAGGCTAATAAGGCTTTATAGGATATAAAAGTTCCCGGGGGTGCAATTTGATCCTTGATGTATCAAACCCTAAGGACTGAGTTGTATTAGAATGGTGTTCTGCTGAATTATGCCCTCCGTTTCATAAGGGCAGCATGTTTATCTCAATCCAAGGTGAAGAGAAAACTGAAACACTTCCATAAAAGGACAGCAAATTAAATCCAACAAATACCACTTGACACCTACTCTCACCGAGGTACTGTGACTATAAAACATATTTCCTTCCCTGAAGGAACTTAAAGATTACAGAGAAAAGTAGACATGAAACCCGGAAGTGGGAAGGGCATTGACATCTCCCATGTGCATGTTCAGCCCCAGTGTGGTATGCCTTCCAACTGCACTCTTGCATCAGTAACAGCAGTACCTAGTCCTTCTCATGCTCAAGTAAGTAAAATGGGCCTCAGAAAGCTTGCCTGAACAGAGACTTTACTCCAGTGTCTGTGACCTCTCTATACAAAATGGGGCCCAAATGAGAGGTGAGATTAGCATGCAGTGAACATATTAAAGCTCACTGAGAGTGACTGACAGGGTGTTGGATCACATGACACAGAGGACATGAGGGAATGTGAGTTGGACCACAGAGAACATGAAATTTCAGAGTCCCAGGGATGAACCAACTCTATTCATCAGTTTATCTGCTTTAATTTTTTTATTCATGTTTATTATTTATCTATTTATGTATGCAGGCACACATATGAAATGACACACATGTAGAAGTTAGAGGAAAACTCGTGAGACTCAGTTCTCTCCTTCAACTATGTGGACTCAGGGATGGAACTCAAGTTGTCAGGCTTGGCAGCAAGCACCTTTACACACTGAGCAATCTCACCAGCCCCTCCCCTCTCCATCCATTCAAACACAGCCAAAATCTGTTCTTTTCTCCACTCTTGTAACCCAAAAAAACAATTTCTTTTCAACATAGTTTTAATAATCTTTATATTAAATATCTATTTTGTCATGTGATCTTTTCTGCACCATGGATTTTGTTTTTGGTCCTTTCTCTGTATGTTTAAATCAAAATCACACTGGACACAGGACTCTAAACAATGTATTTTCTCTAGGAATCAATTACTATCAGCTATTTACCAAAAGTTTCATTACATTTTCTCTTCCCTAAAAAACAGTCTTCCTAATTAAAAATGCATCATGTTCTCTTTTAGCTATGTGAACATTAAGCAACTCCAGGAAACTTCAAAATATGAAACACACAAAAACATTATTTCCAGGTAATATGTTCATGGCCAAAGAAGAAAGTGAGAAAATCCAGTAATGCCCCATTCAGAGAGTGATTTAACTGAAGGTCAGCGTTTGCATAATATGGAAAATTTAGCTTGAGTTTCATCATCAGGACTCATCTCTTCCATTTATCAATATTAAAGTGCTCTGGGTCCCTTAAGACTGCCATGACTACAACTAGATTGGTTTTTTTTTAACTAGATTGTTCCTACTTACAGTCATCACAGAGATGTATAAAATTTACAACATGATGTTGGATTTCTGTTATGCATTCTGCACCCTTGCCAACTACCTATATGTATACTTAGGGTGCTACATACTAAAAGCAATACTTTTGCTGTGTTGGTAAAGCACAGGAGATAAAGACAAACCTGGGCAATCTCAGTTGTGTTAAAAAAAAAAAAAAGACTGACTATTGACTTGTTTTGAGGACTGTTCTTTCTTTTAGGTGCTTGACCATCAAAAGAACCTCTGAGATTGTCTACAGTAGCAGTACACTGTAGTTTAATTAATTAATTAATTATTAATTAATTCATTGGTTGAAAATTATTTGGGAAAGGAAGAACAATTACATTGAAAAAATATTAGTATTCCTGGAATTTACATGTTCAATTTTTTAAGGGGAAATTTAATCTGAGCCAAGAATCAAGAAATAATTTGTCTGCTTTCTTGTTTTACCTCATCACAAACCAAATTCAAACCCTAAAAGAAATTCAGCAAATCAATTGGAAATAAAAACAAAAGTGGGTGTTTTCTAAAACTGTGGAGATTGGATATTAAAGTGATCTCTGAGCTGAGAAACAAATCCAATTTTGTCCTATTTGACTACCTTATCGTATCTCGAAGGGCATATGAGATAAGAGCAAAGAGATGCAGACAATATCCCTATAGCAATACCAGAGTCCAAGCAGGCATCACAAACTTCCGCAGTGTACTCTTCTTCCATCACATTGTCTCAGTTCAGAAATAATAAAAATAGCAATCCATCAAACAAAACAGCAGAGGCCATGGCCGCTCATCTCCCATTAAAATAACTGAAAATTTGTCTCACAAGAAAAAAAGAAGCATGAAATAGGCAACAGGAAAATGTTTGTGAGTTTGTGAGTTTGACTTAGCACTCTCTCTCTCTCCCAAAATACATCTATTCTCCTTTTTCCTGACAATACATATTTAAATAAATCTAAGCCAATGTTCTGTAGAAACTACATAGCCAATCAGTGTGTAAAAAGTATGTATATTCCCTCCCTCCTTCCCTCACTTTTTACTCTCTCTGCCCTCTCACATGCACTCTAAATACCCTCCCCTCCCATCCCCCCACCCCAATTCCATATGTAGGGGAGTGCCATCCAGTTGGGGTCATGTAGATCTGACAGGTCCTGTGAAGTAGGGACTAGGGCTTCTCTCCTGTCTCTAGATTAAGGCAGTTATCCCTCCATGGGGGATATGTTTGCAAAGTTCTTTTGTGAACCAGGGATACATCCTGGCTCCACTGTCTGAGGTCTCTTAGACTGCTCAGTCCTTCTGGCTGAGACCCATATTCAGGGGGGGCCTGAGTCAGTCCCATGCTGGCTTCCCAGCTATCAGTCTAGTGGCCCTTAGCTCCTCCTTGTTCAGGTAAGCTGTCTCTATGTGTTTCTGGCGCATGGTCTTGTCCTCTCCATCTGCATCTGGGTTCTAGTTCGACTCAGTGTTTATGTATGGGTGTTTGATCCTGTTTTCAACAGGCATTAGTTGAGGGCTCCATGGAGAAGTTAGTTGTTGATCTCACTCTCCGGGAAGGGCATTTATGATAGCCTTTCCACGTAAGCTCAACTTGTTAGTTGGGGGCAGTCTTATAGTTCTCTCGACCTTTCTTTGTGTTCAATTTTATCTTCAAACCAATATTGGCTCCCTCTTTTATGTTCTCTCTCTCTGTCTCTGTCTCTCTCTCTCTCTCTCTTTCCTATCGTCTATTCCTAACCAGGCTCAATCTTCCTGGTCGCACATGTTTTCCTTTCCTCCCCCTCATTTTCTCCTACTTCTCTCTCCATTAGCTGTCCTCCCCCACTTCACCTGAGCTCTGGGGGACTTGCCCCTTCCCAGTTCTGTGAGGGACTTTATATGAATCTCTTAGAATATATATAAATATATATATTAACATTTGAGAAAACTGGTCTCAGAAATGTTCTGGGATTGGTCTACTGTTAAACAAATAATCAAGTAATAAAAACAAAATAACAAGTTGTTTTCTTTCTTACCATTAAAAAAAGCAAATTAAAATGAGGACTGAGCCAATAGATAAGTGGGTAATAGTAATTGCTACGAAAGCATGATGACCTAAGATTGAGTCTTCAATACCCATGTAAAAAGCTGAGCACAGCCATGCCTGTCTGTAACCCCAGCATTGGAGAACACAGAGAGGTGGCATCCCAAGAACTCCAGGCTAGCCCAAACAGTGAATTTTCTGTTCACTGGATGACTCTGTCTCAAGGGAATGTGGGAGGGAGCAAAAAGTGAAGACATCTGACATCTTCCTGTGGTCTCCCTGTGTGTATGCACTGGTACATGTACCCACACATACAGGTGCATGCATTACACATACAACATACACACAGAAAGAAGATGAGTGTGAAAGTAAAAAGGGGAGATCACTAGAATGACAAAAATAGATATTAGTAAAAGCAAGCAATATTTAAAGAAAGATTTAGCTAATTGCCACTGGGAACCTTTATGGAAATATAGATGTGTCTATAGACAGAAGTGTCAGGTCCTGTGTAAAGCAGGGAAATCAGTAGAGATTCCAAGTTCTTTGTAACCTCTGCCTTTGGACTATTTATTAAAATGTCAAACAAAGTAATGAAATGAAGAAAGCGTTTCCTTTATACTGAACTATGTATGCCAAATTGATTTGCCTGGAAAGTAAAGCAGACAGGTTCCCTACTTGGATTTTCTCTTAGATAAATGCATACTTTTACTTATATTAAATCAATTTTCATAATAGACTGCTGCAGGCATCACAGAGTAACTGTAAATATACACTATTTGTCCTTGATTATGTTACCAAATAATAGAGGAGATAAAGCCCCAACTAGACATCTTTCACTACCAAGTGAAATCTCCAGTGCCAGGAATGGGTTACATATAATTGAGTTGTTGGCCAAAAGGGCTCCAAAAGAACCCCCAAACAACTAAGGTTATTTCTAAGGTTATTGGTTACTCTCTACAAACTAATGGTAGGCCCTATGGCTAAAGACCATACTTACATGTCTCATTGAAAACAGAAGCCTAACTAGAGCCCCTCACCCCTACTGACTAGTGTTAAGGGAATAGGTAAACCGCAACCCAGCTATAAAATGTGCAGTCTACAATGGTGACTTGCCTGCATGATGTGCTGGTACAATAGCAACACCATATTGTGGGAGTTACCACCCACTATCTGACTGGATTTAAGACCCACTTCATGGGATACAACACAGGCCTGATACTGTTAATGTAGCCCAGAACCTGAGACTAGATAGCTATGGACCCAGGGGGAAAACAAATATTATTGTTATGATAAAGGAATGTAGCAATACATTCTGCTATACTTATAGATCATTATCTTGCTAGGCCATCAACAGAAAATCCTCCTTATGCAGTTAAGGGGAATAAATACAGAGACCAACAGACAGACATTAGTCAGAGAATGAGAGACCTTTGAACAGCCCTAAATGGGATCTCTTCATTAAACTCCTTGTCTGTCAGCTCAGAGAACTCTGTAGAAGATGAGGCAGAACAATTATGAGTCAGAAGGAATGGATGACACCAAAAAAAATGGTGTTTTCCAGATACAACAGGACTTACACACATATGAACTTATAGATACTGTGGCAGCATGCACTGGGCCTGCATAGGTCCATGCTAGATGGGATCCCAGCACTGAGAATAGGAAGTGATCATGAGCTCCCATCCTTAACCAAGAAACTATCTGTAATTGACAACTATGTGCAAAGGAAAATCTGGTTTTCTCCAACAGAGTGTCAGCACAACAGTACATGGTCAACACAAAATGAACTCAATGGTATTTTGTTTTCAGACTTTTTGACTCATATTTCTTTGTTTGGGTATTTTTTACCTCACTGGTCTTTTGCTTGTACAGTATGGTTTCTAGTTTGTGGTTTTATGGGCTTTTTGTTTTGTTTTGTTTTGTTTTGTGTGTGTGCCTGTGTATGCCTCTGTGTGTGTGTGTGTGTGTGTGTGTGTGTGTGTGTGTTTCTTGTGTTTTCTCTTTGTTATTTTTGCTATGTTGTTCTGTTTTTTTAGTTCTTGGCTTGGGGGGCATTTAAGAAAGCATGAACTGGGATGGGTGAGAAGATGGAGAGAATCTAAGAGGGTGTGGGGAGGAGGAGAGATTAATTAAAATGTACAAAAAATATTGTTTTGATGAAAAATTAAAAACAGAAGAGCTGACACGGTGAGGATATTGTTCTAACAAAGAGCATCAGCCCTGCAGATGCACAGCCATAGGTTTGACCACCTCATACCACAGAAAGGAAACAGCAGTGTCTACTTATCAATGAGGTTAAATCTCTGAATATCTTATGCTTCAAGCTAAGGTTACTCTTCCTCAGACTATTTACACTTATACACTATGATACTATCTATGTCACTCTGTGCTGTTACTTGTTTTAATTAATTTTGGGGTCTGAGGAAGTGGCTTAGCAGGTAAAGCATTTGTTCTTCAAGTGTGAGGACTGGGGTCCATGTCTTCAGCAGCACATAAAATCAAGTGGGCATGGGAAAGGAGCTTGTGTGTAATCCCAGAGCTCTGGAGTTGGAGACAAACCATCCCCAGAGAAGCTGGCTGGCCAGACTAGACAAATCACAAACAGGGAATTGGTAGAGATCCTGCTTCAGTAAATAGACAGTAATCAAAGAAGACATCTGACATCAATAGCTGTCCTCCACACTCACTCACACAAAAACTAAAATAAATATTTTGGTATAGGGCATACTAATCTCAATGCTCAAAGGTCTAGAGTTTCCTTGCCATTTCCTCTTCAGTAAGCCACCTGTTGTTCTTAGTTTCAAAATGGCGCTAGGACTACCAAATTCTGGCTTTATCCTTAGAAGTGTATACTAGTTTTTACAACCCTATCTGGTCAGCTTCTGATAAAGTAAGGCAGAAAGCACCAGGATTTATGCTTACTTCAGGATTGGAATTAAAAATAAAAGCAAATTAAGTCATCTTCTACTTACAGATGACACATGCTGCAAGAGACACATGACATCAATCATGTCCGCAAGGATAAGGAGTCTTGTAACTGCTGCCAACAAGGCGCGGGCGGCTTGAACAACAGCCTCCCTTTTCGGGAGGTAACAGGGGTCATCTGTAAATCTCTCCGCTGATACCTTCAGAGCATTGCCTGGAAAACATAACCTCAAATAAGTTAACCATTTACATTTCAGCAATATCTACTTCAGCATTAATCAGCCAACGTAACTCCAAGAATTTTCCATGAATAGCCACAACATTAAAAACAAACTATCATATTATTCTCAGAGCAACACATCTTGAAACAAGGCAGTTTCCAATCTGCACTTGCTTTGATGAGTGCTCCGGAGGTCAAAGAAGTGTGTGCGTCTTCTCCTGGAGAAAATTCTTCTCAACTGACAGCAACATCAGGTAAGAACTGCTGTTGGCTCCTGCAGTTGCTCCATCAAACTGCTTTTAAAGCTACCGATATGGAAGAGCCTAAAATGAAAAGGGAAAGACTGCCTTCCCCATCCCCAACCCCAGCAACCAAACTCAGAGAATGACTACAACTGCTGTTCATGCTTCATAAGACAAACTTAATTCATCATTCAAGTTATGCATATTATTTCTCTTATATAATCTAGGGGAGCTGATGAGATGGTTCAGTAAGGGTTTTTGCCACCAAAGCTGTCAACCTAAGATCAAGCCCCATGATCTGCACAGTTGAGAGACTGACTCCCCTAAGTTATCATCTGACCTCCACAAGCATGTCCTGACATGCATGCGCACCTAATTAATTTATTTATTTATTAAGAGTAAATATAATAAATCTCCTCTTAATAATAATTCAGAATAATAAAGAATATAAAGTAAAAATGTTTAATTCTCCATACTGGTGCCTAAAAACACCAACTACTCTGTTTTTATGTACATATATAGAAATTTCTCCCTGAATTTCTGTTTCATGTGTATACATACACACTCATTTCTTTATAAATGTATCTGCATGCTTTATATACATATACTTTGTGAACATATTCATACACATCCACATTTAACATATATACATATATATATATGCATACAGAGACTTCATGTCATAAAAATATAATCTTAAACTTATTATAGAAAGGATCATCAAGGAGTGTCATCTCATAGAAACATTCCACAGTTTGTTAGTTGTGCTTACCAGTTACTTTCTGAACACAATGGGCCAGATGGTCAAGAGTCACAGCAGTAAACAGTGCAGAAGTTGAAGCCAGCCTGGTTCTGTGTCTAGTCTCATGCCTTCTCTATGCTTTACTTTCCTTGGTTGTAAATGGAATGATAAAAATATAAAAAAAAGCAATTGTCCCTAACAAAATATTTGGTCTTGTTTTTTCAACAGCTAATCTTAAAATTCATATAGAAATTTCAAAAAACTAATAATAGACAAAACCATCTTTGGGAAAAAAGGAAGAATGTTGTTCTTATTTCAAAACTTATTAGAAAACTATTTTTTAAAAAAATAGAATTGGCATTCCCAAAGCAATTCTTAGCCCATCAGTGATAGCACACACCTTTAATTTGAGCACCTGGGAGGCAGAGGCAGGTGGATCTCTGTGAGTTCGAGGCCAACCTGGTCTACAAAGCAAGTTCCAGGACAGCCAGGGCTACACAAAGAAACCCTGTCTCAAAAAAAAAAAAAAACACAAAAAAAGTAACAACAAACAAACAAAAACCCAGACAAACAATTCTTAACATCATGATCAACTGATTTTCAACAAAGGTTCCAAGAAAAGTCATTAAGAACGTGGTCTTATTTTGTGATAGTTTTTCAATAAAAGGCTCTAAGTTACTTAGATAGTCATATGAGAGAAAAGAACATGCGTTTCTGTCTCACATCACAACAAAAGTCAACTCAGTGGGTCACAGAACGCCATGCAAGGACTTAAACTATAAAGCTGGGCATAGCAAACCTTATGATCTCAGATTCTGAGAGGGTCTTAAATGTGGCACCAAAAGCACATGCAATAAAACAACATAGTAGACTATCAAGCCTAACATTTATGAACTTTATTTTTATGATTTTTTATTATTTTTAATCATGTGCTTGTATATGTGTGTGTGTGTGAACACATGAATGTTTGTGAGTGCAGCTACCTAAAGACTCATTTGACCCTCTCCATACACCAGGTGGTTAGTAGTGACACAGACATGAACATCGAGGTTCAAAGTCAGTGGGCAATAGCTTGCCCATGTCACACAGTCAGAAATGTGAGGAGAATCTGTGCCTCCATCAGCTGGCTCCTGAGTTCCTGATCTTTCCACGGCCTCATTTGTTTTTGTCTGATAGTGATGCTTCCAACCTTGGGGCAGTTTTGTACCCTCCCAGATGGATATTTGGCAATGCCTCAGAGACATTGTGGGTTGTGACAGTTGAAGGCAAGATGGAGCTGCCACAGGTGTATAGTGGGATGGGCAGACACACTGCTCAGTGGTGCACAGAGCAGACACGTAGACTTACCCAGCTGCAAATGGCAATGGTGTTGAGACTGAGAAATTATGAGCAAGGATGGTCATGTGTTAGAATGTGAAGCACAAGTTTCTGGACAAGGTGACCATGAGGCTTCAGTGTTTTTGTTGTTGTTGTTGTTGTTGTTGTTTGTTTTTGTTTTTGTTTTTTTGGGGGGAGGTATTGGTTAGGTGTTAGGTTCCCTGATACCAAAGTTACAGGTTGCTGTGAGCCAAAGAGATACTGAGAAAAAAAGCATGGGTCATCTGCAATCACAGGACATGCTCTTAACCACTGAGCCACCTTTTCCATCATAGATTTCTGAGTTTTAGATGAGAAAGCATCAAGAAAAAGAAGGGAGGACTGGAAATACACTGTGTTTAAAGAGGATCCAAGTTTGGACTGTCCCGGAATCTTCATGGTGGCTCACACTGTCTCTAACTCCATTTCCTGGGGACCTGACAACCTCTTCCATCTCACTTTTCTGACCTCCAAGGGAAGCAGGCACACACACATGAACCAGGTAAAACACTCATACATATAAAATAAAAATAATTAAATCTTCCATTTAAAAAAGAAAATGAAAAGACAATCTATAAAACAGGGGGGATAATTTTATATCATATATCTAAAGGGGCTTTAATCCCTTCCATCAGAGAAGAGTAGTACTAATGCATTGCTATTTGCTAAGAGATTGAAGAGACAATAAAATAATTCTAAGTAGAAGATCAACATTATGGTGACAACTGTGGAAACTTTGACCCCCAGACATCTGTACTACCTTATGCTGCTGAGGAAATAACGACTCACTAAGGGGAAGCAGTTGTGCCTGCGGCCAGACAATGAGATGATTCCAGCTCAAATATGTTGAACTCCAAGGACTGTGCTCCCATTGCCACATGTGTTCTTTCTAGATATGCTATTCAATTAATGGGCCTAAGAATCAAATATGCCAACATTTCATTTTTCCAACCTGAAATTCTGACAGGGTATGGTTGTAAACAAGGGCAAGTTTGCCAAGAATCTGACACACATATCAAGACTGCTAACAAAGCTTCCAAGTCCATCCTCTCAGGTGATACTTAGATAGGAAAATAAATTCAACAATCCTGACTTTTCAGACTGTCTGTAGAAAACACCTGGTAATTTGCAAGCCTCCATTAACTAGTTCCCTGTTATGCATGTAAGGCCAGAAATCAGTGTCTACCATGTAAATGTTATTCAATAAATATATTTGAATTAAATGAAAAAGTCTAGTTTAAAGCTTGTAACTTAATATGAAAAGATAAATCAACTTTTGAGTTTATTTACTTTATTATTTTTATTTGTATGAGTGTTTTATTCACATGTATGTACTGCATCATGTGTATGCTTGGTGCCCATGAGGACAAAAAGGGAATCATATCCCCTGGCACTAGAGTTATAGACAGTTGAGAACCACTGTGTGGTTGCTGGGACTTGAACCCAGGTCCTCTGAACAACAAATGCTCTTAACTCTGAGCTAGCTCCCCAGTGTGGCAATATATTAGTTATGATTTAAATAAAGCTACTGGATATCAAAATGCAAAGCTAGCCACAGCCACAGAGGCCTTTAATCTCTGGACTAGGGAGACAGGCAGAGGGATCTCTGTTTGTTCAAGGCCACAGTGAGCTACATAAATGGATCCAGGATAAAAGAGAAACAGCTCACACAAAGGTGATCTCAGCACTTGGGATTATTCACCTTTAATTCTAGCACAAGGGAGGTGGAGACAAAAGTGATATGGCTGGGCAGAGACAGGAATATAAGGCTGGAGGAGACAGGAACTCAGGGATTGCAGTCTGAGGTTTGGTAGAGAGCAGTGTAGTCTGCATTGTACTTTAAGGATTTGTGGAGACTGGATCACCCATTTTGGTCTGAGGTAGAAGTAAGAGCTACTGGCTTGGCTGCTTTGCTTCTCTGATCTTCAGCATAAACCCCCAAATCAGTCTTTGGGTTTTCATTACTTGTGTTTCACTCCAACTCTAATCCAACTTTTAAATAGGCAAAGGCCTAAAAAGGCATTTTAAAGAAAAAATACAAATGACCAATATGCACATAAAAAGATTTTCTAATGTTAATATAATCTAAATTATTAATGCATAATTACATCTGCATTAAGGTTTTAGTAAAGCCTTTTGCCAAGATTGTTTTTGATTGATTAAAAATAGGCACATATGTTTAATATTCAGGAGCAAGACACTGGAGACTGAACAGCACAGGAAGAGAAACAAGAACGATTGTGTGTGTGTGTGTGTGTGTGTGTGTGTGTTGGAAGTGATCACTGTACTAACTGTTACTTCTAGAAGGAAGTGGTAGAAAGGCAGTGTTTACATTGTGGCTAGCTTCTTCCCATGCTTAGGGACAGGGGAAACTTGAGATTATTAAAAGGTTGATTAAAGGGTGCTGTGGAGATCTCTAGCATGCAGTACTGCAGCAGAGTACCCATGAAGAGGTGCTAGAGAGATGACTCAGTGTGAGTGTGTGCTGCTCTTGCAGAGGTTCCCAGCACCCACATTAGGTGACTCACAACACTGACTCCAGCTCCAGGGAACCCCCTTCTGGCCTCCACAGGCAACTTCAGTCATGTAAACATATCCTCACAAATACACAGAAATAATTTGTTTAACTCCAATAAATCTTTCCTTTAAAACAA